GAAGGGACGGGGAAGGGACGGGGAAGGGACGGGGAAGGGACGGGGAAGGGACGGGGAAGGGACGGGGAAGGGACAGTGCCCCGAGGAGCGGCCGGAGCGGGAACGGGAGCGCGCCTGGCGCAGTGCGCGGCCGCAGCCACGCGGGGGCGCACGCAGCGCTGCCAGAGCCCCATCCCGCCCGGAGCGCTCCGGGTCCGCACCTGAACCCGAACCGGGCGGGGACCGCGACAACCGGGAAACACCGGCACCGGTACCAACAGCAACATCAACACCGGCACCGGTACCAACAGCAACATCAACATCAACACCATCACCACCGGCACCGGTACCAACATCAACAGCAACATCAACACCATCACCACCGGCACCGGTACCAACACCTACATCAACACCATCACCACCGGCACCGGTACCAACATCAACACTATCACCACCGGCACCGGTACCAACACCAACATCACCATCGGCACCGGTACCAACAGCAACATCAACACCATCACCACCGGCACCGGTACCAACATCAACATCAACACCATCACCATCGGCACCGGTACCAACACCAACATCAACACCATCACCACCGGTACCAACACCAACATCAACACCATCACCATCAGCACCATCGGCACGGGGCACTGCGCCCCCGCAACAGCAAAGGAAGCCGCCAAGCTGGAACGCATCAGCAGCTCCACGGATACACACCGCCCGAGCCATCTGAAACGCTGCAAAAATCGCCAGCACTCGAGGTTTTAAATGAGCGGCTCCAATTAGGCAAATTCCCCAGCGGTGACAGAGGTGTTAAGGTTGTTCACCTTCTCCTCTGTTGGTTTTAACACCTCCGGGCCAGGCTGTGGCTCCTGGTGCCTCAATGCTCCCTGGACTCTGAGCATCAACAGTGCTGAAGGGCAGGTGTGTGAAAATGGATTATTTTCCTCCTTAAGGCAATTGCTACTAAAAAAGTATAGCTGTATGTAAGTAATTTTCAGCAAGCGCTTGCTTCTCCATCTGGAAGACAACTCCTAGGTGAT